CAACCCCTGCCACGGGCAGGGACCCCTTCCACTGGAGCAGCTTGCTCCAAGCCCCTGTGTCCAACCTGGCCTTGAGCACTGCCAGGGATGGGGCAGCCACAGCTTCTCTGGGCACCCTGTGCCAGCGCCTCAGCACCCTCACAGGGAAGAGCTTCTGCCTAAGAGCTCAGCTCAGTCTCCCCTCGGGCAGGTTCAAGCCATTCCCCTTGGCCTGTCCCTACAGGCCCTTGTCCCAAGCCCCTCTCCAGCTTTCCTGCAGCCCCTTTAGGCACTGGAGCTGCTCTCAGGTCTCCCCTTCAGGAGCCTTCTCTTCTCCAGGCTGCCCCAGCCCAGCTCTCTCAGCCTGGCTCCAGAGCAGAGCTGCTCCAGCCCTCGCAGCAGCTCCATGGCCTCCTCTGGCCTCGCTCCAGCAGCTCCACGTCCCTCTGGTGCTGCTGCCCCAATAACAAAATGTTGGGATAAATCATTTTATCTTGCCAAGGACAAGACAAACTGCCTCATCAGTCACAGTGGGCACTGACTGCTATGGACCCAGCACTCGGATGGCCTCCTGACTCTGAACTTCCAGCTCCCCAGGGGGACAGAGGCTCTGCTCTGATTTACTCTCTATTTTAACACACAGACATCACCACATTAACTGTATTTAGGGAATGTTTATTCCTGCTGATATGGAAATCTGAACCTGAGCTTTTGAGGCAGAGCACAGTGTGTGCTTTGGATGCTTACATTGGGTTTCTATTCTGCCTTCAAGATCCTCATTAACTTTCTGTGTCAGTATTTCTTTTCAGGTAGGCTAAGAGAATATCGCCTACAGGAATGAGCCCTGTATCTACAAAAAGCCAACCCTGTGGGACTTTCTGATGTAACTTTGACATCTTATCCTGTGGTATGGTTACTCATTGGAAAACCCCTTCTGATCTAGTGGTATCCAAAAGGAATGCAGATGGTGGGTGCTGAGGCCATACCATCATGCAAACCAGAGAGCACGTGGTAACTATCAAGAGATTTGCTTTAAAAGCACTGTCCTTGTCCAAACTGGACACATTCTAACTGTAAACTGTGGTTAGATTTTGTTTGTGATGGAGCAGCTCAAAAAGCAATCCACTATCACATGAATCAAGTCAATATTTTACTATAGACTTAATTAGAAGGCACAATGGAGAAAACTCCTCGGAGGAGAATGGGAATCGGTGCAGAGTAGCACATCTTCAGGCACTTCAACAGAGTTCTTCCTCTGGGCACACCCTGACTCCCTGAAGTCAGCACCATGGCCAACATTGACTCAGTGGCACCAGAACCAGGCCTCTTGAGTGCAGTTTGGTTTTTAGTCAAACCCCATTAAGACAGAGCTTGTTTCAGATTTACACCCAGTCAAATACGGTATGTGCCATCTGGAGTTCAGTTACACTGTCCTTCACCCACGGGAGGTGCCAGGGCACACATCTATTATGCAACTAAGGGTCATGCAAGACAAACCAGAGCAGTCAGCACAACGAGAAGTCTTTCTGGTATTGAAAGGCCAAGCCCAATCCATAACATCAGTAATGACTTTCAAAGGGTGGGAAGAGGGGCCTGGACAGGCTGAAGAGGTGGGACCATGTGAACCTCATGGAGTTCAACCAGGCTGAGGGCAAAGTCCTGCCCCGGGGTAGGGGCAATCCCAGCACAAACACAGGCTGGGGGTGACTGGATGGAGCAGCCTGAGGAGAAGGACTTGGGGTGCTGGGTGAGGAGAAGGACGTGGAGCTGTTGGAGCGAGTTCAGAGGAGGCCATGGAGATGCTGCGAGGGCTGGAGCAGCTCTGCTCTGGAGCCAGGCTGAGAGAGCTGGGCTGGGGCAGCCTGGAGAAGAGAAGGCTCCTGAAGGGGAGACCTGAGAGCAGCTCCAGTGCCTGAAGGGGCTGCAGGAAACCTGGAGAGGGGCTTGGGACAAGGGCCTGTAGGGACAGGCCAAGGGGAATGGCTTGAACCTGCCCGAGGGGAGACTGAGCTGAGCTCTTAGGCAGAAGCTCTTCCCTGTGAGGGTGCTGAGGCGCTGGCACAGGGTGCCCAGAGAAGCTGTGGCTGCCCCATCCCTGGCAGTGCTCAAGGCCAGGTTGGACACAGGGGCTTGGAGCAAGCTGCTCCAGTGGAAGGGGTCCCTGCCCGTGGCAGGGGTTGGAGCTGGAGGAGCTTTGAGCTCCCTTCAACCCAAACCAGGCTGGGGTTCTATGAAATAGAGGACCCAGGACTGCCCCAGATCAATGTCCAGGCAGAGCTGCATCTCCCACCCCAGCAGTCTCCCACCACCACCAGTTCACTCCACAGTAAATGCTAAGCTACTTCCAATGGAATGAACTCTGACTGTGCACTGTGACAACACCAGTCTCGTACAATACCCAGCACCACTTGGGCAGCAGCTCTGCAGACCATGTGCAGGTTGCAGTCCTGGTACATCTCACCCCAGTGATGGGAAGGCTCAGGATGCATCAGCTCCCTTGGGAGCCCGTAGCCAGCCCCACGAGCAGCCAGGCCAGTGCTCTGAAACAGCACCTCAGCCTGGAGCCAGGCACAGGGACCACAAGAACCCAGAACCATTGCTTGGAAGGACAGCAAGCACATTCTGCATCTTAAACTGGCTCTTGATTTCATCTGAGCTCCGTCAAAAATAAGGTCCCCATTTGTATGTGACCTTGCACGGTTAAATGACCAAGGCATCAGTGAATAGCTCAGAAAGCAGCACAAGGTACCTGTTGGGCCTGGAGACACCCACCATGCTCCACACCATGCTGCTTCCTGCCTGCTTGAGGAAACAAACGTGCTCAGACACTTCTCAAGCCTTTCTGCCCTCTGTCTCCTCAGGCACTGCTCTGTTTCTGTGGAGTACAGAGGGCAGGGTCACGCTGGAGGATGCAGGAAGCCACAGATGGCATTTACTGAACCTGCATCTTGATTCTGCCTCATCGCAATAACAACTCCCTGGTCCCGTGTTCCTGGAGACAGCAGTCTGTGGCTTTGCATGGAAGGGAGGAGGCTGTGAAAACCCCACAGGGATGTCACCAGCCATTGGAATGATTGCTACGGAACTGTGCTGATCCCAGAGGTCTCGGGGGGTTTGGATGTATCTGACTGCAGAGCTGGCACTGCCAAAGGAGAATCAGGGAGCTACATCTGGAGGGGAGGTGACTGGTAGAGACTGGTTCATGTTTTGCCACCGATAAAGCCAACACTCGATGCTCTAGGGACAAGGAAGCTCTCCATTGCGTTTGCACGCAGGTAAATGCAGCTGTGGTCAGAGACAGGATCTCGGGAGTGGTTTAATTTGGAAGTCTGAAGCACTGGCTACTATTTGGCTGCTTTCACCATACCATGCATTAGTACAAATGCTGTTATGTGTCTTTCAATGACTGCATGCTGTCAGAGCATCACAACCAGTGAGGATGAGTGTGCCAGATCCCACAGCCCAGGCAGCTGGTTTGGGGAACACTTTTAGAACCTTCTTTTCCTGTGTTTTTCCCTCTGCTGGCGATTGCACACGAAGAGCTGCACTGCGGAAGGCGGCAAACTTAGAAGACACATAGTGTAATGGGATCTGTTTAAAAAGAACATATTTAAAGGCCTTCACTGGTTAGCATTCATGTGCTGACACAGAGTGAATCTGAGCCATGCACAGCAGAGGTAACACTGCAGAGATGCATTTGTGGGGGATAAAGAAGGGAAAGTGAAGCCCATTTTTATCCTTTGACAGCACACTTGGGAACTGAAGCCTCAGCACGTGGGAGGTGCTGACAGCCCTCACTTGCACAGCATGCAGTAAGGAAGGATTTAGAGGCACAGCTCCACAGAGACACTCGAGGCTGGTTCTCCTCCAGCCATCCAATGGGCCCTGAGCACATTCTAACATGGGCTGCTATTATTTCACTGGGGCTCAAGAGACAAATGCAGCTTCCTCTGGTCAAGGTGTTCTTGTACCCTCGCACCAGTGTCATCTGCCCTTTAATTCACCACTACAGACCCTAAACTGCTACCAGCTGCTGTTCCAGGTGACGGGCAAGCAGTCACTGCTCAGGGAGCTAACAGGAGCCAATGCAAACCAGATGCAGCCCACTGCAAAAGTAAAGTATTAAGACAGTCTCCCCTACATTTTGGAGCATATTTAAGCCCCTGCCATGCACTTAAACACCCAGAGCAGGACAGGATAGGTGGCAGCTCAAGGATGCTCTGTGTCAGCTGCCAGCCCGCACTGACAGCAGTCTCCTGCCAGGAAGTTATTACTTGATGCTATACACGTTTCTCTGGCAGCATCATGGTGCGAGAAACAACAGAGAGAAGTCAGACCCAGTGTACTTGTTCCCTAATTCCTGTCTGCGTTTGAAGCAGTGTCAGGAGAGGTGCAGCCGCATTAACCAAAGGGAAATGAACCCTGGTGACAGAACTGACACTTCCAACCCCCGAGGCAGCGAGCAGCCGGGGAGATGGGCTCTGTTCTGATCTAACAGGTTAAGCAGCACTGCGTGCCCTGCACACACACACTGTGCACTGGAGCGCAGCAAACAGGAAACGTCCAAATCAGTTACTCGGTGGGCACAGAAACCAGATTATTCATCCCAGTAATTGAGCATAACTTGTATTACACTGAAACAGCAACACCTACAGCTGCAGGGATCTGTCAGCAGCTCAGGCCCTGACATTTAACTCCATCACGCATGACAAGACTATGAAGATCCTGATGAATAAATGGAGCAGGAATTGCAGCCCACGTACCCAAGGAAAGGCAGAGCCATTCCCTTCCCCAGGCTCCTGCATCCTAAAGCAAAGCTGCAGCACAGCAGAGCTGGGGCTATTAACCACCCCAAGGAGGAGCTGGGGGCTAAGGGAGAAACCCAAACAGAGGATGCAAATCAGGACAGTTGGAAATGGATTATACAAAGCCCTTAGGCAGCAGACAATGCATGTGTAACACGCAGACATATAACACACATTATGTACATATTCAGATGCACAGACACACGTAGAACTAACCTCAGCGGCAGGCTCCGGCGTGACGCACACTGCTTGTCTGCACTGCCTGCGGACAGCAGCATTCCTCGGGTGCAGGGCACTTCATTGCAAACCTGCAGGCTGCTCCTGGCACGCAGAGCTAGAAGGGGTTTTACTATTCCTGCTGCAGAAGGCTACGGAATCATCATAATCCATCCCCGCTGCGGGAGCTCGTGCTCTCCATCCCCATCCTCTGGCGAGCGGAGCCGATGAGAGACGGGTCCTCGGTGCAGGGGAGGATCCAGAGGGCAGCGACGGAAGAGGGGAGGCAGTGAAGGCAAGCGGGAGCAGGGCGAGCCGCGGGCGCCCTCAGAGCAGCCCGGGCGAGGGGAGGCTGCGGCCGCCGGGTGCTGCTGGGGGAGCGCTGCTGCGGGCGGGCAGGAGGAGCTCAGGGCTCCGGGCGCGGGCCCGCAGCCACCCCTCAGCCATTGCAGGGTCACTGCAGAGAGCGCGGGGGCCCCGGCAGCCACCGCGCCCTCCCCGCGCCGCGAGCCGGGTGTGCGGGACACGGCAGCGCCCCGGCAGCGCAGGCTCAGCTCCGGCACCCGCTGCCCGCAGCCGCCGTCCGGAGCCCAGCGCCGGCTTCCAGCACGGGCTGAGATGAGCCCAGCTCCTCCCGGGGCAGCGGCTGCGTTACCGGAACGGAACGGGCAGGGAGCTGCTGGGGGATGCTCAGATTCAGAACCAGCTTCCACTGGCTCCTAGCGAAGGAGATGGGACCAGGCTATAGGATCACAGAACCCCAGCCTGGTTTGGGCTGGAAGGGACCTCAAAGCTCCTCCAGCTCCAACCCCTGCCACAGGCAGGGACCCCTTCCACTGGAGCAGCTTGCTCCAAGCCCCTGTGTCCAACCTGGCCTTGAGCACTGCCAGGGATGGGGCAGCCACAGCTTCTCTGGGCACCCTGTGCCAGCGCCTCAGCACCCTCACAGGGAAGAGCTTCTGCCTAAGAGCTCAGCTCAGTCTCCCCTCGGGCAGGTTCAAGCCATTCCCCTTGGCCTGTCCCTACAGGCCCTTGTCCCAAGCCCCTCTCCAGGTTTCCCGCAGCCCCTTTAGGCACTGGAGCTGCTCTCAGGTCTCCCCTTCAGGAGCCTTCTCTTCTCCAGGCTGCCCCAGCCCAGCTCTCTCAGCCTGGCTCCAGAGCAGAGCTGCTCCAGCCCTCGCAGCAGCTCCATGGCCAACTCCGGCCCCACTCCAATGGGTCCATATTTTATAGACTCCTTAAATATGTAAGTGCAGAGCCTGGCACTGGAGCTTCCCAGGAATGTCATTACTGGTTGAAACCCATGCTCTGGAATTACGTGGGAGTGGGAATATGGTGGCAAAAAGGGAGGTGTCTTTACACACTCCTGTAAGGTATGACTGGAGATGAAAGCATGTCTTTAACCCCAGCTTGCTGTGTCTCGCCAGTTTTGTGGCTCATTCCATGGACCACCTGAAACAATACCTCAGTACCTGGAGCTTTCCATTTAAATCCCTGGCTTTCCCAAAGCCCAGAGCCTGTGGCTCTGTGCACACCTCAATGCAAAGCCAAGAAACGTGTGTGACTTCTGACCATGTTCCTGGAAACCTGCTCCTCTTGCTGTGGTCACCAGCTCCTGGAGTTCATGTGCCCGCTGCCCTTTGACAGAGGTACACGTGGTGGCACTTGCAGAGAACCATGAGGACAAGGTTTCTGTTTACTTCATAGGAACCCCCAGAAGGACAAACCTGACAGCAAGGCTCCTGACAGGAGGCTGCCAGAGCAGGATCTGTGGGGTTGCAATCAAAGCCACAGACTCAAACGTTGCCTTATTTCTGCCCACCCGCACTGCGGACACCGGCTCCAGGGATGGGTTCTCCTAAGCCCCAGCCCTGGCTGCTTATCCCAAACTTCCTGCGCCTGGGGCACCCCACTGCAGCCAGCTGGTCTGCAGAGCCCCTGCAGGGTCAGCGCCTCAACCTGCACACACAGAGGCACTGGGGCTCGTGCCCGACCCAGGCAAAGGGGGCTGCCCCCTCCATAAATGTCTCAGCTCGGACAACCCCTCTGCATTTCCCTTGCTCCTGCGCACACCAGCGCTTTAAATCAGATCCTCTCACAGCATCACTCAATCACAGAGTGCTCTGGGTTGAAGCCCCTCCGGTGCTGCTGCCCCAGGCCTGGATCAGGGCTGCAGGGGGGTCCCACAGAGCACAGCAGAGGGGCAGGATCCCCCCCCCGAGCTGCTGCTCCCGCTCGGGCTCACTGCACTCCCCAGACCACACAGAGCCCAGCCGGTTCCAGGTGAACCCCGGAGCCCCGTCCCTCAGCGCCAGGGCTGGCTGCAGTCCCACTGGGGATGCACAAACACTCGCTGTAGAACCACTGGATAAACAGCTCTGTTCTCTGCTGCTGGAGCTGAATCCCAGTGTTTTGTGGCAGTTTGTAGAACAAGGAACACTGATGGCACTGTTGTAAGTGACACAAAGCAAGAGCCCATCGGTGCTTTACATCACCCCCACAAAGGGGGGTTGTTTTTCAGCTGGCAAGAGCAGGGAACCGGCATCCTTCTGGCAATTTCCACGCCCTGAGCTGTACCCACTGCAGGGTGCACTCCTGCAGAGCACTCCACTGCGCACTGCTTGGTCATGCAGAACTAAGATGTTAATGAACTTTGGAACCCCAGCACAGCAAGTAAACAAGAGCTGTAAACATCTTTATGCTGCACTTGCCTGATCCCCACTGAAGTGCTCAGCACTCCCGATTTAGAGGCTGAGAAGCAGAGAATCACAGAATCATAGAATAGTTAGGGTTGGAAAGGACCTTAAGATCATGGAGTTCCAACCCCCCTGCCATGGGCAGGGACACCTCGCTCTAAACCATATCACCCAAGGCCTCGTCCAACCTGGCCTTGAACACTGCCAGGGATGGAGCATTCACAGCCTCCCTGGGCACCCATTCCAGTGCCTCACCACCCTAACAGGAAAGAATTTCCTCCTTAGATCCAATCTAAACTTCCCCTGTTTCAGTTTTAACCCATTACCCCTTGTCCTGTCACTACAGTCCCTAATGAAGAGTCCATCCCCAGCCTGGGTTTGTTCTGAACATCCTGGCGTCAGCCCTTTTCAGTGTACGTGCAGCACGGAGCAGCAGGTGAGGCAGGTGACTGCACAGGAGCTGGCACAGATCTTCCCTCAGCCTCTTCCTCAGGGCTCACCAGCGGTAGCTGTGAAAGGCACTGCACCAGCACACAGCCAAGCCCTGCCATTGCGGCAGTTACACCACAAGCAGCTTGGTGCTCCCTTTACTCTCCAAATGGAACAAACTGAAACCGCAGTCAAGAAATGCGATGTGGAGGGCCAGGGAAGTGAGTGATGCTCTGATAGCCAGGGACAGTGCTCTGCTGAAGAGCATGTGGGGGGCAGGAGCTGTAGATTGCCACACGTGCCCCAGATGCTGAGCTGCAGGGGGCTGCCCCCCACCTCATCCTCTGGAGTAGGATGAGGACACCTGGGGGGTACCACCAGCTAAAAGGTGCCCTGAGGACACTTCCTCCTTCACTTACCTGCCAGGTGAGCTCCAATCTGTGTTTCTAATGTCAACCCTGGTTCCACGAGCATCTTTTACAACTGAGAGAATGCTGTTTCTGAGTCCTACTGGTAGAGTATCTGTTTGAACATCTAAAATCAATGAAGTCCTACTTACAGTGAGTTCCATTTCCTGTTCCTGCCCAGGCTGCAAAGCCAGCAGATGGCTCTGTGAGGAATGAACAATACTAATGACCAGATGTATGTCACTGGGCCATCAGAAACTGCTGTGAGAAAGAGCTAGCATGTACAAAAGAGATGGCAACATGCAAGAAATAGTGATGCATGCCCATAAGTTGAAGAAATGAAATCTCACCAAAAAGTAACAAGACTGCCCAGATAAAAGACACTTCTGCACCCAAGTCCTGGGTTTATTTCACCTGCAAGAGGATCTTTGTCCCCCACTCCTCTCTGCTTCTTTCATTACAAGTAAGATGCCTGTCCCATTGCAGCCTGATCCCATCAGGTCCCTGACTGCAGGGCTGGCAGCAGCAGTGCACAGACCCAGGCTCCCCACCAGCAGCTTTCAGGACTGGTGACATTCGGGGTGCTCGGGAGCTGAGCTGTGCTGCAGAGCCAGGCTCTGCCTCAGGTCCGCCCATCCCAGAGGCAGCTCAGAGGCTCGGAGCAGCTCGGGCTCCCCAGCACCACCGAACCCCTTGTGCCCAGGGGTCTGAGCCCCATCCAAGCTAGTGTAAGCCAGTGTCAGACTGTGCACATTAGACTCTCCCCATTTAAACCACTTCAGAAATACGCTTGCTTGAACTGGTGTGATGACCATGTGCAGACCTAACCCCTAATTCCCTTCCTTCTTCAGCCTGTATTTTGAATCAGACCATTACATTCCCGGTGTCAAGATTGTTATGGGTTTTAACTCTCAGCTGTAAAGAAGCCAAACCAAGAGACTCAGTGTGTATTTGATCTCCTCATGTCAACAGCCTGAGTAAGTATGAACAGCTCAGGAATGAGCATCCGAGAGCAGTGTGGTGGTTAATGAACAGCAGCCCAAGAAAAGCACAGCATAAAAGCACACGTTCTGGTCTGATGCGCAGAGGCTGCAGGAAGGTTAATGACTATGCCACTGCTGGCACTGAAAAACCAGATGAAACCAGGCAGTGCTCAGATTTCAGCAGCTTTGGGGCCCTGTGCCCCGCACAGCGTTCAACAGCAGAACCATGCTGGAGAGACAGGGAGGCACGGAGGGAGGTGACAGACCAAGGGGAATGGCTTGAACCTGCCCGAGGGGAGACTGAGCTGAGCTCTTAGGCAGAAGCTCTTCCCTGTGAGGGTGCTGAGGCGCTGGCACAGGGTGCCCAGAGAAGCTGTGGCTGCCCCATCCCTGGCAGTGCTCAAGGCCAGGCTGGACACAGGGGCTTGGAGCAAGCTGCTCCAGTGGAAGGGGTCCCTGCCTGTGGCAGGGGTTGGAGCTGGAGGAGCTTTGAGGTCCCTTCAACGCAAACCAGGCTGGGGTTCTGTGATTCTATGAAAGCAATGAGCTTCATCCCTTGTGCTGTGCCGTGATGCCACCATCCAAGTGACGCAGGCACAGTCTTCCAAATCAATCCTGAGAGTGCCCTCTGGTTGCACCCATCTCACACTGTCTCTGTTACAAAGTTGGTACAGATTGACTTTGACTTAGATTGATAACACATGCACGGCCATCACCAGGCAGAAACATGTCCCTAAAGCACATCAGAAGATCCAAATCCTCCAGGAGCAGAGCCAGGAGCACAGCTCTGAATAGGAGCAAAGGCCCAGGGATGGGCTTCACCAGGGCAGAGGGTGGCTGGGAGGGGGCCTGAGGGAGGGTGTTCAGGGCTGGGGCTGCCAGTGCACCCAGGGCCCAGCAGGGTCACTGAACAGTGTATCCTAGCTCCTGAGCACAGACACTGCATGTCAGGCACTTACATGTATTTATTTGAGAGGTGCCCCAAAGAAGAGATACAAGGACTCCCTGAAACAATACCTTAGCCTTGGCCATATTGACTACCATCAGTGGTCCACCTTGGCCTCCAATCGGGAGACTTGGAGGCACACCATACATAATGCCGCTGACTCCTTTGAGAGTTCACGAAGAACTAGTCTCGAGGAGAAAAGACAACGCAGGAAGAATCGTGTCCCACCTGTTCCACCCAAGGAGACCTTCTGCTGTGCTTTTTGTAGCCGGATTTGCCTATCCCACATTGGCCTTCTTAGTCATCAGCGCGCTTGTAGTAAGCGTGGGTAAATGCCCTTCCCAAATCTTCGTTCGCGAAGTCAAGCCATGATGACATGTATTTATTATAACTACCCATGAAATTAGCGTAGGATCACAGAATGAAGTGGGTTGAAAAAGCCCTCCAAGCTCCTCCAGCCCAACCCTTACCCCAGCACTGCCCAGGCCACCACTGCCCCATGGCACTGAGGCCTCGTCTCCACGGGGTGTGAACCCTTGCAGGGCCGGTGCCTGCAGCCCTGCCCTGGGCAGCCTGTTCCAATGCCTGAGCACCCTCTGGGGCAGGAATTGTTCCTCAGCTCCATCTAAACCTGCCCTGGTGCAGCTTGAGGCCGGTTCCTCTTGTCCCATCCCTTGTTCCTTGGGAGCAGAGCCCAGCCCCTCCTGGCTCCATCCTCCTGTCAGGCAGTTGGAGGCAGCCATCAGGTCCCCCCTGAGCCTTCTCTTCTCCACACTGAACCCCCCAGGTCCCTCAGCCCTTCCCCATCACTCTTGGGCTCCAGGCCCTGCTCCAGCTCCATTGCCCTGCTCTGGCCCCGCTCCAGCCCCTCAGTGATGTTTTAACCATTAACTTAAACTGAGCACACTCAGAGCTCATTGCCCTAAACCATCCCTTCCCAGCACTTCACTCACACACACACACACACACACACACACACACACACACCCCGGTCTGTGGTGGTTGGGGTAGCACACACTGTAAAATCATAATCGAGCGTTCAGGGGTTAACACTGCGCCCTTCCCTGGTGCTTCCCTGCTGGGAAACAAAGCCTGCCCCAGGTACCAAAGCTGTTCCTGTGTCTCCAAATAACTCAGTTTCCCCTCCTAGGAGGTGGTGAAAGTGATTTGAGTGAAACAGGCCCAGTGGGACTCAGCCTCCGGGGCTGTGCTGGTGAGCACCCAGCCATGCCTCCCTGCCCAGCACCCTTCACTGTGCGCTTAGGGTAAGGGAGCACTGCCAGGTATCGGTATGAGCAAAGTCCCTGCTTTAGAAGAGTTGGCCCCAAACTGCACCTCCTCATTGCAGACCATTGCTGGAGTCCCTGAACAGCCTGTCTGGGTTAGCAGCAGCAGGTTAACACTGCTCCAAGTTCCCTCTTACACGTCTGCCTTTGCTTCACTCAGCACACAGGGGCAACTGAATGAACTAAGGACCTGCAGGCAGCCTCAAACACTGGACACAAGCTTGATATTCCCACCACAGTGGGCCTGAAATGACAATATTTTGTCTTTCTTACCTTCCCACACAGCTGCCTTCTCATGAAGTGCATCCTGCAGAGGGGAAAATGTGGGTCACTCCTCTCTGCTTCCCTGGACTTCATCAGGAAACCCGAATAGAGATTGATGTTTTCCCGGATTCCTCCTGTATCCTGATGCTGCCAGAAACCCATAACAGAGGAAATCACTTTGGAAACGACGGTCCCCTTGTGCTGCTGAAACAGGCAGCAGCCCATGGTGAATACACATAGGGTATGCTCAGGGTTTGCACAGCACCAGAACATAAAATACTTGCAGGGGTTTTGTGCTACCAGGAGACATGGTCACAGCACGGTTCTGCCCTGGGGAGTATGGTGGAGAAACTACTGGCTCCCAGAGTGGAGCGCCTTGCTCTTCAGGCCTGGGGATGGGGGGTGTCCAGTGCTGTAAATCTCCATGTAGGTGTTTGGAGGTTTGTGGGTGTCGTGGTTTAACCCCAGCCAGACAGCTTGTGCACTCACTCCCCCCCCTTCTTGCCCTCCCCCTGTTCCTGGAGGGACAGAGAGGAGAATCAGAAAGAATGCAGCTCCCACGGGTTGAGATAAGAACAGTTTAGTAACTAAGGTATAACACAAATCACTACTGCTACCACCAATAATAGTCACGATAAAGGAAATAACAAGGGAAGAGAATACAACACCCCATCACCAGCCAACCGATAACTCGCCCCCCCAGCCCGACCAAGCACCGACTGATACCTCCTCCAACCCTGCAGTCCACCTAGCCCTTCTGGGTAACTCCCAGTTCCCTCCAGGGCATGACGTGCTGTGGTATGGAATACCTCTTTGGTCAGTTTGGGTCAGGTGTCCTGTCTCTGCTTCCTCCCAGCTTCCCCTCTCCCTGGCAGAGCAGGAGGCTCACAAAGTCCTTGGCCAAACCAAAACATCATTGTTATCAGCTCTGTTCCCAGCTGAAAGTCAAACCACAGCACTGCACCAGCTACCAAGAAAGAGAAAAATGACTGCTACTGCTGAACCCAGGACAGTGGGGAAGACTGAAAAGTGATGGCATCATCAGGTCACAGGCACTTTGGTGACTCCCTCCTCCCTCCCGACCCGTCCACCCGCATGAGAGTCAATGCAGCTGAGCTCTCTGTTCCCTGCGCACACGAGGAGGAGACCACCGCATCCCTGCGATGCTGACGCGCTCCTCCCGCGGTGAGGCCGCCTGGGTGCCCGTGCGCAGCGGGGCCCTCGGGCGGGACTGGTGGGCAGCAGAGGGCAGCAGAGAGCCACGGGACCAGCACCAAAGCGGGGCAGGCTCCGGTCCGCTTCCAGAGCCGCGGCTGAGAGCGGCCTCGGGCCTGGCACATGGGGACGGAGTAAACACACATTAAAGACTAAGACATAAAAACCATAAACCGAAGAACGTGTTGGTGGGTGAGAAACTGAACATGAGCGGCTCCAGTGTGCGCAGAAACCAACCGTATCCTGGGCTGCATCGAAAGGAGCGTGACCAGCAGTCAAAGGAGGTGATCCTGCCCCTTTATTCTGCTCTTGTGAGACCTCACTTGGAGCATTGTGTGCAGTTCTGGTGTCCTCAACATAAAAAGGACATGGAACTGTTGGAACAAGTTCAGAGGAGGCCACGAGGATGCTCAGGGGCTAGAGCACCTCCCATATAAAGACAGGCTGAGAAAGTTGGGGCTGTTCAGCCTGGAGAAGAGAAGGCTGCGTGGAGACCTCAGAGCAGCTTCCAGTATCTGAAAAGGGCTACAAGGATGCTGGGGAGGGACCCTTCATCAGGGGCTGTAGTGATAGGACAAGGGGTAATGGGTTAAAACTGAAACAGAGGAAGTTTAGATTGGATATAAGGAAGCTCTTCCCTGTGAGGGTGCTGAGGCGCTGGCACAGGGTGCCCAGAGAAGCTGTGGCTGCCCCATCCCTGGCAGTGCTCAAGGTCAGGTTGGACACAGGGGCTTGGAGCAAGCTGCTCCAGTGGAAGGGGTCCCTGCTTATGGTAGGGGCTGGAGCTGGAGGAGCTTTGAGGTCCCTTCAACCCAAACCAGGCTGGGATTTAATGAAACATGATGTTACTTGGGCTCCACGACTGTGTACTACAGAAAGCTCTACTACACCAATGGACACAGCCTCAGCCTGGATAAAACGCCTGCCTGCTCTCATTAAGTAAATAACCCTTTACCTGGCCTCTGGCCGAATAAACTGCAATTGTAATTACTTGGGTTCATAAACTCCCAGCAGTCGGTCAATGCCTGCTTGCGGAGCGCAGCACGACCTTCCCAGCGCAGTGCCCAATGTGAGACCCCCGTCACTGTGCCCAGCACCGCACCAGGGGCACACTCAGTCACCTCCTAGCCGGGGGCGCTCCCAGAGCCCGCTCCGGCGGCACCACCCGGGCTCCCACCGCCAGAGCCCGTTTCTCCGCTCCCCCGGCCCCGCACCCTCAGGGGGAAGCGCCGCGAGCAGTCGCGGGCAGCGCGGGGACGCGCACGGGGTGAGTGTGGCGGTCACGCTGTGCTGGCAAGGGCTGGGAACGGGCTGGGAACGGGCTGGGGACGGGCTGGGGACGGGCTGGGAAGGGAAGGAGCTGTGCGGTCACCGCGTACCCAGCTCGGGCCGTCCCGTACCCGGGCCCGCTCCCGATGTCCCCCGGCTCCGGCACGGCTGCGGCCCTGGGGCAGCGCCGGAGGCCCCGCCCCGCCCCGCCGCGCTGGCCAATGGGAGCGGCGGGGCGGTGGCTGACGTCAAGGCGCTGTGGGCAGGAGCGGGGCGCAGCGGTCAGTGCGTTCCTGCTGTGGCCGCGCCATGTCGCGGGTGAGCCCGCAGGAGGAGAACCTGCAGGGTAAGGGCTGCGGCCGCTCGGGGGGAGCCGGGCCTGGGGCCGCCGGTGCTGAGGTGAGCGGTGGGGCCGCCGCCATGGGCCTGCCCCAGGCACGGGCGGTGCCGCTGCCTGCATGGGCCTGGGGCCGGGCGGTCCCGGTCCCCGCCTGGCCGCTGTGCGCGGGGAGGCCTCAGTGCAGCGGCTGGCGGCAGCGGGGGGCACTGGGCTTGCTGCTGGGCCGTGGGTCCCGGCGGACACTGGGCCGCCGCGCCCAGGGCCTGGCGGGCCCGGCCCGGTAGAGCGCGCACAGGGCTGGCAGGCAGGCGGAGGGAGCCCGGGTCTCGGGGCGCTGCAGGGTCTCGGTTGTGCGGCTGAGCTGAAGCGGGGCTGGGTGCACATCGCTGCTGGTGAGCTCTGTGCGCTGTGGTGAGTGTCACCCTCCCCGCCAGGAGAAACCGTCTGTGTCCCGTGGGGATGTGCCTTTGAGGAGACATCGGGGTCAGCGGCACTGACCGGAGTGTAGAGAGTCTGAAGCGGGTTTAGGTGTCAGGTGAAGGATCTGAGCGCAGTGGTGTGTTAAAGGCTGAGCTGAGCTCTTAGGCAGAAGCTCTTCCCTGTGAGGGTGCTGAGGCGCTGGCACAGGGTGCCCAGAGAAGCTGTGGCTGCCCCATCCCTGGCAGTGCTCAAGGCCAGGTTGGACACAGGGGCTTGGAGCAAGCTGCTCCAGTGGCAGGGGTTGGAGCTGGAGGAGCTTTGAGGTCCCTTCCAGCACAAACCAGGCTGGGCTTCGATGAAACTGTGATTTACAGGGGTGGCTTCAGCAGTTTGAGGAGACATTCTTGTCTTTCGGTGGAATTTTGCCAGTTTTGAAAGCTGTATCTTAAGAAATTAAGTGGTGCAGAGCTGATCGAGTACTTTAACGCTGACTGGGTACTTCAGTGCTAATCTGGCCTCCCACAGATGTCTCCTGGGCTGGAATATCATAAGATTGCTCCTTTCGAAACCCTTCCTCTCCGCTCAGTCTGTACTGCCACGTTACATGGGTTTATCTGTTTATATTTCCATCTCCATAAATATATGGGCTCTTTTATCTGTAACTGGTAATAAACCAGCCCATTCCTGGTGTGCCAGCACAGCCTCACTCTCTGAAGTGTCCAAAAGAAAGGAAAGGACATGGGTACACACATCCAGATGGCAGGGGGTTGGAACTGGATGATCTTCAATGTCCCTTGAACCCAAAGCACTCTGTGATGCTGTGATACAGTGTGATCCCAGTTACAGTTAACCTCCCCCGTGCTTTGTTGTACACTCCCTGCGCTGTATCCAGCACGGTTTCCATAGGTGGTGGTTGTTGTGTGGAGCAGTTGTGTTGATGCTGTTGAAACCCGAGCGTGCCGCGGATGTCACACGTCTGCACAGGAGAAAATAGCTTCTGGCCACACACAGAGAGTTGCAGAGCCGTGCCCCAACACTGAGTGCTCTGCTCTCACAAGCAGAGGGGAGAAACTGAGGTGGACGTGCTGAGCAGTGGGGAGAGGTACTCTGGTACTCACAGGGTGGATGCTGCCTTCAGTTGAGCTGCAGGGGTTGTGCTCATCCCTTGGAAACAGCTTGTGCTTTCAGAAGTTTGGGGGGAAAGGGCAGGAAAGAGTTTGTGTGGGTATAAACACATACCTTGCACACAGCACACAGTCACAGGGAGGGGAAAACACAACCCAACCAAACCAGCCAAGCAGCCATCAGTAACAGAAGCTAGCCACCCTTCAGAGCTGGGTGACCAGCACGTTTCCGTCCAAGGGGCTTTGGGGTCACCTGTATATTAGTACACCAGTGTCTCTCCTGTAACACAGATTGAGCAGTTTGGTGTTTTGCTGGCTTCATTTCATTTATGAATCACAGAATAGTGCATCTTCAGGCCCTCCACGGAAGGAGCATCATGATTTGGTGTTTCTGTTTCACACTAGGGCTCTGCCCTGGCTTCTCCTCTGTGCATACCTTCAAAACTGCTGTGTTATTGCTCCTGCTGTTGTCTTTGCTGACCTCCCAGGCTCTGCCCCAGCCTCTCTTCCTTAGAAACACCGTGATCTGTCTCTCCCTTTCCCTGCTCATGCCTCACACATGCTTTCTGCTGCGCTCACCGGAAAGCAGGGCTTTCACCTGCCCTCCCTCCTGTACTCATTGCTGTATTGCCTGGGAACTCACTGCTGTATTGCCATGGGATGGGCACAATACCTCTGTCTGCTGCTGTTTACACACACAGACACGGTCCAGAGGTGACTTGCACTGTCAGAGATTAGCTGAGCCTTGAGCTGCTGTGTAACTGAGGCAACAGCCGCAGGTCCTGCGGTGCCTTGGGTGCTGCCAGCCCAGGAGGGAGTTGTTGTTCAGCACGCAGCATGTGACCGACTGTCTGTGGTAAATATACTGTGAGGAGCAAACACATGATCCGGCCCTTGCCACATATCCTCTCTTGCTTAACAGTGACACTGAAAACGCTTACTGCAAAAGCCAAACAAAGCCGGGCTGCTGGCTGCTGGGGCCTCAGATAGGCTCAGTAAATGAACAAATAAGCGTGGGGCAGAAAGTCCTTGAGATTATTTTGTTTGGCTGCCACCCTTGTTGAACAATCAGAATTAACCATCTCTCCAGCCAGAGGCTCCGCAGCAGCAGCAGGGCACTGGCTGTGCTCACCAGCTCTTCAGCCCTGTGGGGGTTTTGGTCGCCCTTTGGCATCCCAGCATGTTCATGAGCAGAGGTGCCAGCATTAGTACTTGTGCAGGTTGTGCTGCAGCAGCGCGCTGGGGAGGCTCAGCGGCAGAGTTCACATGGCTCATATCCATAAGCACTTGGTTGATTGTTCTGTTTTCAACTGTGCCAAACAGGTTCCTGGGTGGAACTGCACTTCAGCAGCAACGGCAGCGGCAATGGGAGCAGTGTCAGCACGGGGAGCCAGGAGCAAGTGCCAGCCTCCATTTCCATTCACAACGGTGACATGGAGAAAATACTCCTTGATGCTCAACACGAATCTGGAAGAAGCAGCTCAAGAGAAAGCTCACACTGTGACAGGTAACCAGAGTGCTCTGTTGTAAGCAAAGAGAAGGTCACTACTACACAGAGCCATTTTTATGCACAAGAAGTAGAGAGAGAAATGCTTACATACACGTGTGTATTTCCATGTGCACATGCATATACACAAGTGCAAAGAGGGAGAAGCAGGAAAACTTTGCATTGAAAAGGTTGGTATTTAAGTACTAGAGCAGCACTTGCGTTAGAGCCTGTCCTGAAACCAGAAGGAATTTACAGGGGAGAGGACTCAGGCTTCTCACAGCTCATGAGGATGCCCCCTTGGGGTTTTGCTGTACCCCCATAGAGGTGTCCAGCAGCTGAGCAATGGGTGTACTGCTAATGTACAAGCAGCAGCCGTGTTCCAGTAAATTAAATACTCAGAGCAGTTGGAAGCTGCTGTGCTAAAGGAACACACCTTGTGCAGGCAGTGTCAGAGCTGTCCTTAAGAGCACAGTGCTGCTCACACTGCTGCCTGGAGCAGGACTGTAAGAGCAAGGGTGAAGAGCAGCTTGTGTTTTGTAATGAGGTACATCAGCTAATAATTCCTATGCACTTGCTGAAGAGTTGTAGAATCATAGAATCATAGAATAGTTAGGGTTGGAAAGGACCTTAAGATCATCAAGTTCCAACCCCCCTGCCATGGGCAGGGACACCTTGCTCTAAACCATATCACCCAAGGCCTCGTCCAACCTGGCCTTGAACACTGCCAGGGATGGAGCATTCACAACCTCCCTGGGCAACCCATTCCAGTGCCTCACCACCCTAACAGGAAAGAATTTCCTCCTTAGATCCAATCTAAACTTCCCCTGTTTCAGTTTTAACCCATTACCCCTTGTCCTGTCACTACAGTCCCTAATGAAGAGTCCCTCCCCAGCATCCCTATAGGCCCCCTTCAGATACTGGAAGGCTGCTATGAGGTCTCCACGCAGCCTTTTCTTCTCCAGGCTGAACAGCCCCAACTTTCTCAGCCGATCTTCATATGTAACCTAGATAAAGTTTACAATATAGATACAAAACATGAGTACAACACTACAAACCAACTCAGGTCTGGTGCAGGATGTCAGTCCGTGTTACAAATTCATTCATTGGATTTTGGTGGCTGTGAAGTCTTCACCCTAAAGTTGGTTTAAATGAAAGAAGGGAGGGGAGGGAGCTACAGGTCTCAGAATAGACGGTGGGATGCACAACTCCCTACTCTTACCTGGACAGCTGAATTCAAACCAAACCCAATCTCCTTTGTTATTTGCTGTCTGTTGTTATTAGTAAGTAACCCAAGTCAAACCCTCCAGCCTCTGGGCATCTCTGCTCTGCTGAGAACAGCTCTGTGCCTGGCAGAGTGCTAGAGAATCAGAGATGAATTGCATACAGTGGCTGGATTATATCCCCTGCTGATTGAGCAGTCTCTCAGGTTCTGGTCAGGGCTCTGTAGCTCTTAGGGTGCAGGTGAGCTCCACTGATGAGCTTGCAGTGCATACCATAAACTGTCATCAAAAACTAATGAGTTTTCTTCCTTGTGCTTCCCTTTCTCAAGCCCTCCTCGTTCCCAGACACCTCAGGACAGTCACAGAGCTTTGGAAATAGAGAGTCACAGCAGTGGAGAAAAGAACAGCTTTCAGGTAAAAACCTCATCCTGCTCTGGGAGAAAGGATTCCTTACTCTTGTTTGAAACCCAGCATTAGGCAGTAAGAGGTGAAGCTGCTAATGTGGAGTTTAAATAATACAGTAACTCAGTAATCTTTGCAGAATCAGGCCTTGTGTGTTTGTATGTGACTTGCATGGGTTATCTTTTTACCTGTAACTGGGATTTTCCAGAAGGATTTAAGTGCTCTCATCTATGGTGGAGCAGAGGTTACTCTGCTCTGCTCACTGGGTGGGTTGTGATGCGAGTCCAACAGATGGGAGACAACAGAGGTTTGCATTGAGATGTGTAGGAAACACATCACTAGGGTAGGTGCAGGCATTGTTCTGTAGTGACCATCAGAGCTTCAGAAGCTTCCTCTCTCTCCTCTGTTCCTTCTAATTTCATTTTAGCACATTTACATGCTTGCAAAGAAAATGGATAAATATCTCTGAGAGGAGTAGGGAAAGAGGATGCTGTATGTTAACCTTGGTTTAGCAATCCATAACTTACTGTATGATGGCAGCCTAAAATCCTACATTTTCACTGTAATTAATCGGCTCTAATAGGACAAAACTCACAAAACATTTTGGGGAGTGAAGTATTAAAAGTTGCAAATGTCTCTGCTCTTCCAAAGACCTGCTGTGCTAGCTTATGTAAGTCTCTCCCTGCACTGTTATGCACAGAGATGGTATTTTCTCATTAAACTGAAGTATATTCCATGCCTGTGACTGATTCCCACAGGGTTACCAGTCAGCAACTGGGAATCAGGATTGTATTTCACTTGGAGCCTCTGCATGAAAAGAAGTAGCAGCGTGTGATAACCTTGCAAATGTTACCAGCACTGAGGGCCTTGTGCTCCAGTGGGCAGTGCTGTCAGGACCCTCACATCTGAGTTTAAACAAGGAAAGACTTCTTCCCTCACCTCCGTTTTCCCATTGCTCTTGTGTCATGTAGATGAGTGGACAGTGTGTGTTGTCATCTTGAGCTCTCCGTGATGGCCTTGGTGCTCTCTGGTAGTTTATGGGTTATCTTTTCCTGCCCACTTGTTTTTAAAACAAGCTCACTGTCAGTAGTTAGCCTTGTGGAGCTCCAGCTCCATGGAGTTGCATCAGTAGTGCATAGATGTGATCAGTTCTCAAAGCGACACGAACTCTGCTTGGTCCAGTTGCCTCTTCCTTGATGTGAAACCCTGCATCGTCTCCCCAGCTCCTCCAGGGACCCAGCTGAAGGAGTTACAGCCTTGAGGTTAGCAAAGCACAGTACTGGAAAACAGTAATTTTGTGTTTCCAGAAACCCCTTCCTGTGTCTCATGGTCATTACCTAGACTTTGAGGACCAGTAGGGGAAAGCTCAAAACCCCTCAGAGCTGCAGTTGCCTGCACTGTCCCATTTCCATCTCCAGGGTGTCTGAGTGCAGATACAGCTATTCACATTCTGTGCTCAGATGCTATTTTTACCTCAAGCCTTGGCTCCATTGAATGCCCTTGTATTAAACAAGAAGCTGTGTTCTTACTCAGTGTTTATGCTGTGATTCACTTGCAAACAAAGTCCCTGCTGTTTGAGGGGGTTCTGCAGAGGGACCCGGGCTCACCTCGCTGCTGCGTGCCCAGCACTGGCCCCACACTGGGACTGGTTTCACTTGAGCCTGATCCAGGGCTGTCAGAGCAGTGACATCCATCCAGTTCTGCATGCAGGCACTAAGCTGCTTGTGCCAAGTGCCAGTCAGATGTGTGTGCTGGGACACTTTCAGATCCTGGATGGAAGGATTAAATGCACAGCTCTGATGTTTTATTTCCAGAGCAGTCTTTACTAAGCAGATAAGGCTATGGGATATTTTCAATGCACATCCTTAAACACTGGCCCCGTTCAAGGCCAGGTTGGACACAGGGGCTTGGAGCAAGCTGCTCCAGTGGAAGGGGTCCCTGCCCGTGGCAGGGGTTGGAGCTGGAGGAGCTTTAAGGTCCTTTCCAAACCATTCCCGGATTCTCTGATCCTGCTCTAAAGAAAGATCTCCCTCTTCTCCTGTGGATCTAAACACTTCCATGGAGGTGATGGAGTCCCCAGTGGGCAGAGATGGGAGAGGTGAGCTCCAGAGCCAGTGTGGCGTGTGGCCGTAGAGACAGAACAAGACCTTTGTTTTGCAGTACCAGCTTCCCACCTTTCCCAGTTCTGAGTTGTTTGACAGTGGTTCTTTGTTCTAGTCTGAAGAAGATTTCCTTGAAAGGAGAAGGGAAGTGGAAAGGCTCCTGAAGAAGAATGCGGATTGGATTTGGGATTGGTCCAGCAGGCCAGAGAACATCCCCCCAAAGTGAGTGCTCTGGGCCTCTGGGTCAGCTTAGATGCAGCTTTTCCTTCCCCTGCTCTAGACACACATCCCTTAATGCTGTCACTGTTCCCTTCCTCGAACCAGGGAGTTCCTCTTCAAGCACCCCAGGCGCACGGCCACCCTGAGCATGAGGAACACCAGTGTGATGAAGAAAGGGGGGATATTCTCAGCAGAATTCCTCAAGGTTTTCCTCCCATCTCTGCTGCTTTCCCACTTGCTCGCCATTGGACTGGGGTCAGTGCTACGGTATATTTTAACCTGTTTTTCCCCAAGGCCCAATTCTGACCCCGATTCCCTCTGTCTAAAGATGAGGAATAAACACTTCTCCATAGAATAAGCCAGGGGTGGGCAGAGAGTCACCGGTGACTGGAAATCGAGTCCTGGAGCAGTCACTTGGTTTGCCTACTTGATTACAGCTGCTGCTCCTGCTGGGAATGGCGGGACTTGTATCCTGATGGAAGAGAGTGTTCCTGACGTGCTGCAGGTGCCTCTGGCAGCACAGCACTCACTGACCGTGTGCTCTCCCTCCTCAGGGTGTACATCGGGCGGCGCCTGACGACCACAGCTTCCAGCAGCGCGTTCTAGAGGCGCCTCAAGCCTGGTTCCGGAGCCGAGCCTGGGAATGCAGGAGGGAAAGGCAGGGATGTGGAGCGAGCCGTGACTCCATGACCCATGTACACCCGTTCTGCTGCGCTCCTGGTTTAGTAAGGGTAACAGGGACACCGGCGCCGACATCTCCTGCAGCCATTCCCAGAGCATGTTCCGATGCATTCATGTCCGTTGCATTGCTTTGTAGTGCAGTATCTTTGCAAACCAGAACAACTCCATGTTTAAAGCCAGCCCTGCTCCAGTGTAGCCGTAGTGATTCCGAGTGTTCATCCCGTGGCTGCTTTTGTGCTTTGTAGATGTGAGTATTGGTCACTGCTGCTGCCATGGCGACGATAAGGGATGAGCCCCGCACGGTGCGTGGCCTCGTGTGTCACAGGGAAGCTTGAGCCTCACTCGAGGCAGATTGTGGTGGGCTCTTTCGCTGTGGGCTATGAGCAGTGGGGGGACACTGTCAGCTGGGAGCAGTGCTGAGAGAGTAAAGCTCCACCAGTTTTTACTGTTGAGCAGGGCACACAACAGCCTGAGTTAGTGTGGACTCCGGTGCCTGTAAGAAGTAGCTGCTTTGCGAAGGCATTGATCTAACTCGCCAAGTGCTTCAAGTTCTCCTGTTGTATCTACTCACAGGCCATCGCTTCGCAGCCTTTTCACCTGTAAAATACTGAATTAGCAGCTGATACTGCCCCAGCCTTGTATAGATTTCCGAGGGTCACTTGCTCATTGTTTTTATGAGGGAATGCCTCCCAGTGATTTTACCTTATTTAATGAGAAGATGAATGTTTGCCAAATACCATGTTTTATATATTTAAATAAAAAGGTTCCTTGTGGACTCGGGTCTGGCATGCCTTTTTCTCTGGTGATCGTTGGAGGCGGCTCACGGGGCTCTCTGCAGTCTCTCACTGGTTACTGCTGGGACTGACAACTAAGAAGTTTCTTTGGGAAACAACTTCACTGCTCCTCTTGAACGTGGTTGAGTTGGGTGCAGAAGTCACTCAGTGAACGGAAACTCGCTGAACTCACAACTGTGTGCCCTACTCCAGCCATCAGTTCACAGACAGTTTGCTTTCTACTCTTATTTTTGTCCTTACTCAGCAGAACTGACTCCTTCTTCTGTGCTGCACCATGAGTCCACATCCTGCTGCTGTGGGTGCTACATGCAGGAGGAGTGAATCCTTTCTCATGGGAGTTTAATTGTGCACATTTTACAGCAGGGGCAGGATCTGTTTGGGGTTTCTTTACTCTTTGTGCAATGAAATGGGTTTATAGAATTATCTTCATTCCTGAAGGATAGATCCCACATGTGAAGTCATCAAATCACAAATGGTTTGGGTTGAAGGGGACCTCAAAGCTCCTCCAGCTCCAACCCCTGCGACGGGCAGGGACCCCTTCCACTGGAGCAGCTTGCTCCAAGCCCCTGTGTCCAACCTGGCCTTGAGCACTGCCAGGGATGGGGCAGCCACAGCTTCTCTGGGCACCCTGTGCCAGCGCCTCAGCACCCTCACAGGGAAGAGCTTCTGCCTAAGAGCTCAGCTCAGTCTCCCTTCGGGCAGGTTCAAGCCATTCCCCTTGGCCTGTCCCTACAGGCCCTTGTCCCAAGCCCCTCTCCAGGTTTAGGTATGGAATTGGACACACTTCAATCTGACTACAGCTGGAGCTCAACCTCAGAGTTTCACTAAAATGTCATTGAAAATGTTGGTATCAGAATTACAATTCGATCAGCTGCTCCCCCCCTTTGAACTAAGATTGGTGGGGGTTTTTATACCACTGCATCCAAATGAACATAAAAAGATTCTCTTTGAATACTGCTACAACCCCAGCAATGTACCCCACAGCTCACCCCTGTCCCTGGGGTTACAGCAGATGGAGGGCTGGGCTCTGGTTCATTGGTCCAAGGGCCTCACCGTTGTCCTATGTGTGTGGGGTCCTTGTGTCCACTGGCCCAGGGGCTGCGCTGGACGGTCCCTGGGCTCTCCGTCCATCACTGGTGTTTAAAGAGAAACCACCCCAGACATTGTTAAAGGCATCTTAGACTCCCACCGAGGGAATACTCACTGTGATGCTCCTGCTGTGACCGGAGGAAGCGCCTCTGTTCCTTCTCTGTTCTTGCTCCTCAAACACAGAAGAGACCAGGGCAGGACTGAGCACCCAGACAGACCCCGGTGAGCATCCCACCAGCAGCTGGGACCGAGCACTGAAAGCAGAAGTGGAGCAGAAGCCAAGCCTCCACCAGGTTTACAGACCCCCCCCAGATGCACCACTCAAGCCCCAGCCCATGTGGCACTATGGATTCATCACCAACAAACCACCAGTGTCCCCATCACTTCAGCACCAGCCCAGGCCTGAGCTTACCTCACCCCCAGGAACAGCCACAGGGTGATGGATCCTCCCCTCTTACTCCATGTATCCCAGTGCCAGGATCCCCCCATCACCCCATAAGACCATCCCTCCCTGAAAGTCACCACTGAGGGCACTGCACATATGAGCAGTCCAATGCTCCTGAACCAGCCCTGAGCCCAAGGGCTATTTGGGGCAAATACCTGAAAAAACAATAATATTATCAATTTACAATAAAATCTGGGCTTAGAGAAAAAGAACTGCTAAAAATGTCATGAATTGACAAGAACTGTTTAATTGGAAGTGGCACAAGGAAATCATGTTTTATGTAACAGAAGATTTCATCATTTCCTTTTTGTTGTATTCCACTTAATTTGCTGAACAAATAGATCAGAAACAGCACTAACAGAACTGCTCCAAGACAGAGAGCACTCAAACCCCCTTTGTGCTGGCGGAACAACCAACCCTCAAAGCTCCTCCAGCTCCAACCCCTGCCACGGGCAGGGACCCCTTCCACTGGAGCAGCTTGCTCCAAGCCCCTGTGTCCAACCTGGCCTTGAGCACTGCCAGGGATGGGGCAGCCCCAGCTTCTCTGGGCTCCCTGTGCCAGCGCCTCACCCCCCCAGGGCAGCAGTTCCTCCCTGTCCCCTCAGGCTGAACACACAGAGCGAGGCCAGGTAAACAGTTAAAATTTATTAAACTTTTTGGTCAAAAGAACTGAACATTTTGTACGGCCCCAGCGCGGCTCGGCCAGCACGGCAGGAACAGGCTCACCTGAACACATCAGCCAGCCCGGCCCAGCAGCCTCCAGTAGTGTCACAACCAATGTACACAGTAAGGTTGGTTTGAGTCAGAGCCTTTCAGACGCTCAGCCCTCCACAGAGACACGGTGGCGTGTGCAGAGCCTGGTTTTAAGGAAGCGGAGCACAAACCACGCTGGAGCTGTTGCCTCCAGGGAGCTGGGGTCTCACATCCATTCCCAATGTGCAGGCACATTCCCAGCGTCATCTCTACCTACTCGATGCTACCCACACGTGCTGCAGCGGCGGCAGGAGCCCTCACCCAGCCTGCCCGAGGGCAAGGAGAAGGTTGATGCATTTTAGGCCTCTTTGGAGAAAACAAAAGTACCTAAGGCTTAAGAACAGGAGGGGAGAGCAGGATCCCAGCAGCCACAGCAACACCCACCCGTGGCCTTGGTGCCTCCTGCCATTGGGGTGTCAGAGCCACAGGGTGCCCCAGTGCTGGGCACAGCCACGAGAGGGGTCGGGTTTGGGCCTGGAACTGCAACAGGAATACAATATATTAAGCCAAGTAGTTAAAATAAACTCTTCCTGACAAAGACTATAAAGGTTAAAAACCGTAATGCACATGAGGTTTGGCTCTAGCAAACGTTGAGATGCAGCCAATGAACTCAATTTGTTATCTTCAAAGAAGAAATAGTGCTCCACGTTTGGTTTTCCCTTCTGGTCTCTTTCTGTTAAGGCTGTGGACATCTTTATACCGACCTCTGAGTCTCCTACTTGGTACAGAGAGCACTTGACAAGGAAACCAGTGCAATTTGAACTGAACAACAGCTTTGTGGGAACTCTAACCTTGGAACCTTGAGATACTACACAAAAACATCTGGATTAGTCTGCCAAAAATCACTGTTTTGGGGGCAAACCCTGTCAAACCTGCCCCTCAGACTAATTCTGCACAATCTCAGGACATGCAATAGAAAAAAATAAGAGGACTGGATACATACCTTCAGATTTAAAAACACTTTTTATAGCTTGTTATTTTATTAAGTGGTTGACACCAGAAGGTGTGGTTAGAGATACAGGTGCTGAGTAAATAGTCATGGAAACCTTTCTACGAACCCAACTCAAGACCTACCTAAGTGCTCCAAGGTAAAACCACCTAAGCCCCGAAAAGGCCAGAGGAGGAATGTTCACAGGCATTAAGCACAATATATGTTCTGAAAGGCCCAAATATTACAGCAGAGAGAGCGTGAGAGAGAAGAAATTACACTGTCATGACAAGTTTCCTTCTTGGGTGTTAGATTTTTGGTCTATCAACTGGAAAGGAAGGCTCAGACTTCAATAAATACACTGGGTTTGAGCGCTGGCCTTTGTGGGCACTGTCCATCCATTCTGCCTCTGAGGGTTCCACCTGGAAAGCTGTGGCTGACACTCCCTACCCCAACAGCAGAACATCCATGACTCCAAACCTGGCCAGATCCTCTCCTGGAGCTAAAGGGAAGTAAGTGCATCAATGTTCTTCACTGGTAGGACAACAAGGCCTTCTCTTTTACAGATAAACAACTGAGCGTAACTATGTGAGACGACGGCTCCGTCCTCGGGGAAGTCATCTCTAGTTAATTTTGTCCTGGAATATATACAAGTTATTGGTGGCAGCTACAGCAATGATGTTCTCCATGGGATGCCACGCTGTGTGCAGGATCTTCTTGTTGAAGTCCAGACTGTCAACGCTGATCTCGTCCTTCTTCCTCTTGCCCCCCGTGCAGACCTTGCGCGGCTTCAGCACGGCGCGGGGCTTGCTGCTCTCGCGGGAGGCCTCCAGGGTGACGTCCCGGCGCGTGTTGCGGTCGAACATCCTGAAGAAGTTGTTGTAGGACCCAGTCATGATAGCGCTGTTCGGGGCAGAGGGAAGGCACATCTCACTGGCTGCCAGACACAGCATCAACCCCAGTCTCCTCCCTCACGCTTGCAAGGTGAGTGCAGCCCCAGCTCATGACCAGGATGGGCCATCACACTCTTCCCCTCCCTGATGATCACCGCTGCTCTGCTCCATCTGCATTTCAGCACTGCCTCCACGCCACTGCTTTTTCCCTTGGGTGTTCCTCTGGTCATTCTCCCCCCACCATCCAGCCTGGCCTCGAGCACTGCCAGGGATGGGGCAGCCACAGCTTCTCTGGGCACCCTGTGCCAGCGCCTCAGCACCCTCACAGGGAAGAGCTTCTGCCTAAGAGCTCAGCTCAGTCTCCCCTCGGGCAGGTTCAAGCCATTCCCCTTGGCCTGTCCCTACAGGCCCTTGTCCCAAGCCCCTCTCCCGGTTTCTCTTTCATGCTCTTCACTTAGGGAATCGGTACTTAAGCAGCATGTAGCAATCCCACCTGCCTCTGCAGCAGCAATGCAGGAGGAAGGCGTCACTTTCTTTGCTGACCCCTGTGCACAGCTTTGAGATTTGATTTCCCCAATCACTCTCCCCATCTAATCTATGTGGTGGATCTCCTACTCTCCAACAGTGGATAGGTTTAGGACAAAGCTTGTTTCACAGCCTGATCCTGTTACCACCCTGATCAACCCTGATACCTGTTCACTGAAGAGCCTGCAAGCTTTGGCTGCAGACAGGTCCCTGGTTTAGGTGTTTCAGATTTACTCAATCTTCATCAAAGTGAGAATGCCCAAGGGAAGCCAACACAAAGCATCCAGACACAAGATCAAGACCTGCCATGGTCTCATCTATGTCATTTGAAAGCATTTTAACAGCAGC